TATCATATTGAAAATTTCTTTAATATGTTTGGTTAATGGGAGCTTGAAAATTTAAATTATTTGGCCCAGCTTTTCTTTTTAAGTTTGACCTAATTCTTAAATTGGTCTAAGTTAATTCCTCCCCCAAGATATACATAAAACAAGTCATCAAACCAAAAGCCCAATAATTTGGAGAAGTTTTATTTATTCTGGAAAAATTTGAGGTTTTTATATCTTTCTATTTTTTTTAATAATAATCTAATTATCTAATAAAAATATCATATTATAAGTAGATACATTAATATATTAAAAACTAAAAAAATAATATATTTTAACCAGAAATTAAGATGATCATTGAAAAATATTATTTAGTATGATTTATAATTATTCCTCTTCAATAGTCCTTTTTTTTTCTTTTTAGATAAATCACTGACGGGAGATAATCAAGACAGGTCCATGATTAAGGCTTTAAGTCTTTTTAATTTTATAACATTTTAACTTTGTTTCTAAAAGAGTTCTTGATAACTTATTTACGTTCATTGTAGAAACATTAAATCCTTATAATAATATCATAAATAATACTTAAAAAAGTTATTGATTTAAACTTAATCTATATAGTTATCATAAATGCAAGGTAATAAAAAAAGCCCTGTTGGGGTATGGGTATAGCATCCTCTGATAAAAAACGGGTGAATATAATTAAGAACATTTTTTTTGGTAAGCTGTAATTAAGAAATTTTAACATAACAGTAAACCGCTAAATTTCATGATTGCCGCATGCTAAAGGTTCCTTAAACAATGATGTGTGATAATGGAGCTTGAAACAAGGTAGAATTATTATACGGAGTTGATGTCGGTGCTTTGGATCTCACAATCTCAACTCAACATCCATTATTTGCAGATTTCAATGTTTTGGAAAAAAATTTCCTGGAAATGGGGGCTTCTATATAAAAAAATATATATATCAATCGCTTGGGGTTTTTAATAGAATGCAATTCGTATTGGGTGGGCTGTCCTTATATCCAGAATTTTTTTTTTTTCAAATGTTCATGTAATATTTTTTGGAAACAAATAATTAATCTTGTTATTTATACGGCATCGTATCATATCAACACATTATTGATGAAAAGAATATTCAGTATGTAAGTTATTTCATGTCTTATCATTTTTTGTTAACCAGCATAAATAAATAAATCGTATTCATATTAAATATATTCGTATGTGTGTTAATTCGGTATCAAATCGAATTAAAACAAAATTATATAGCATCTTTTATTATTTTTTATATTAATTTATTTGTTGGTATTACGGATTGCATAGTAAGTAGCTATATAGTGTCAATCATAAGAACATAAACAAAATTCACAACCTACCGATCTACTTTTTAACTTTATTCATCGTGGGGTACCTAAGGAATCGATGCTTTATTTTTCCCATTTTTTGCCCTCTTTTTCTTTCTTGACGAAAAGAAGTCCGATACTTTTCCCGCGGGAATAACTTTGTGGAAGTTGTGCTGGGAGTAAATAGCAGTGCTTAGCAATATGATAATTTAAGGAGATAGAATATTTATATTATCAATTTTTTTATTTTATTATCATTCTTATTATTATTAGATTAAAGAAAAAGTTAGATGAAGAGAGAAAAAATAATTTTAGAATCCAATGATGATTAAAGTATTAATAGAAAAATTGATGATATAAATATCATATCCCTAATTTTATTTTGAGTTTGTTTTGGGTTCATATCTCCGCCTAGGCTTAAAATGCTCAAACCTGTAAAGAACTTTAGGATACACTACTCCAAAAGTTTGTATTCTAAGGTTCTTAACATGGTATCAAAGTCGAACGCCTCTCATTTTTTTTGTAGTGGAATTTTCACATGTAGGTGAACTTGTATGTCGTTCACCATTCAAGCCCAAGGGGCTCTCGTGTGAGAGGACGTGTTGAAATATATAGTCCCACATTGATTCTATGGACAACTAATGTGGGGTTTTAAGGCCTTGGACACTTCCATCCTTAGAGCTAGTTTTTAAAGTGGTGTATCCCAAGATTCTTTACCGAACCAAAGAGTTCAACCTATTCAGAGACCCAAAATCCTTTTACCCGAATTATTATTTCCAACTAACAGTATAAGCCACAAACCCGGATTATGAGACCATATGTCACGAGCCAGGATCATGGATTTAAACCCATGACCCTTTCCCACTCGCTCATAACCACGATCACTTATAAATTATAACCACTTGGTAGGGCAACAATTCCTACAATTGCGTGACAATACCATGTCTGTTATAAGTTGTAATTATCACATCTGAAGGTTATATAGGCTTACAAACAATACCAAAGGAGGACACTTTTCATGAACCACATTTACCTATTCTTGCAGAGCATTCGTATTATTATCACCTAGGTCATTTATGGTGGACCGGGCTTTGGTGTGCCTTAATCAAAAAGAAAAAGAAAAAAGAATGAGAGGTAATTTAAAAAGAAAATAGGGATATAAACGTAAAAAAAAATCCTTTATTGAAAAAGGAGCATCGAAAAAAATGTGCACCGACATCATAATAAAAAAATCCCATCTATTATCCAAACTCTTATCCAATTATCCTAGTTGGTGTTTACTCAGAATTATTTTTTATACTTTTTTTAAATAGTTTTATACTAGTATCTAATAATATAAGTTGGCTGGCAATATATTATATTTAAAGACATTAAATGATGTCACAATATATTATTCATCATTTTATCAATTATTTAATTAATCTGATTTCAGCCAATTAAAATCACATGGATGTTTTTAAATTGCGTTGAGATATCACATTTGCTTAAATTTCATTGAGATTTCTTTATCTCGCTTTAATTTACTTTCTCTTTTCTCATGTAAGTTTATAAATTTTTTACAAAATAATAATAATAAAAATAATAATAAGTGGATTAACAAATAAAATTATTTATTATCCCTAATACACTAATATTTCAAATCCATGAGAGGGGGTGATGTGGGAGAGTTGAACTGCCAACCCATAAAAGAAGTTTCGCCTCAAATGGAAATCTTATGTTTGTTTATTAAAGAAAACAAAAAGTTTGAAATGTATTATCATTTGATGTTGCATTTCACCAAACTAATAGAATTACTGTTGTTTCCTTAGCACTTGAAATTGGTAATATTATGTTTCACAAATGGGATTTAATTTATTGTTTCTAATATAACATCATTTATTTAATAGAATAATTAAATTTACCCTTCTAAATCATAATCTTATTTTTAACTTATCTATTTCTTATGATTAATTTATAATATTCATGTTTATTTTTAAAAAAAATAATAATTATGAAAATAAATAAAAATCATAATAAAAAGCAAATATCACCCAAAGTACCTCAGAAAATATTGTGAAAAATGTATGGAGCATTTTATCCAATATAGTGTTTGTTATTTTATAATGAATAAATTTTGGTATTAAATTTAAAATAAATCGACAGAAATTTTAACTTATTTATTTTTTATGTAGTGTAACTAAATCTTTTAGATTAAATTTAATTTTTTGTCTCTATTGATTTTTATATACTAAACAATTTTAAAAAGTATGAAATTTAAATTGAAAATAATGAATTCAGTTTAGTCTGTTTCATTTCATTATATCTTATTTTTATACCATGAAATCATTATATGTGTAGCAAGCGTAACATAAATTCTGTCTTCATTATATGTGCTGGCTACAAACCCTTATCAACTACTTTTTTCAGAGTTAATTAAGCATTTCTTTTTAATTTTTTTTTTCTTAAATTTAGGAATAAACCAAATGCTACAAGAGTTTAAATTTTTTCTTTTTTCTTTTTTTTTTTGGAACCGATTGACTGCGTGAAACTTTACTTTATAATACCAATGTCACATGCAATGCATTTTATCCTATCAATTCTTGGCTCATATCATCCATACACATCTCTTGCATTGTTGGACACGTACGTATATTGAAGAACTCAAACGCTACCAAGTAGGACTTGGTTTTGTTTCTTTCTCTATTTCTCACAAGCAAACTCACGTGTGTTGTCTGTGTAATGCCTTTGTCGATTACGTCCAGCGAAACATCCCTGTCACTCAACAACAACAACCCTTTCAACAACAGTCTCTATTCTCTTCTAGTTCTGTGGATACTACATGGAATTGACTAGCCTCCACGCTCCGTCCCTCTTATTGTTATTATTGTAAGCCCCATAGCTTGAAAAAACAAAAAAAATGTTAGACAGATAAATATAAAACAAAAATTTAATTAACATATAAAATATAGGGTTATTAAAATTTATGTAAATTTGTAAAGAAAAAATAAAGAAAATGAAAACCATTGTAAGCTTAGAGAAACATTTAAAAAAATAGGAAAACTATGTGAACTTTAATATGAATAGTACTATTGTTTGTCTATATTAAATCACAAATTGTTTAAAAAATTTATTTTAGTATTGTCAAAAGGGGAATGATATTGTGACAACCAAGTTGTGTTACTACCAAGTGACTATCAATCAATCTTACCGTTAGATCGATTATATGGATCCAACGGTTATATTTATTTCCATCTTTGTATGGTCATGATTCCCCAAATTTAATACTTTATATTTATTTTCACCTTTGTATGGTTATGATTTCTCATATTTAATGCGAAATGGAAATCATAACCATACAAAGGTGAAAATAAATATAACCGTTGGATCAACATAATCGATCTAACGATGAAATTGATTGGTAGTCACTTGGTAGTAACACAACTTGGTTGTCACAATATCCTCCCCGTTGTCAAAATTGAAAGTATAAGCGATGATGCAACATTTTGAATAACGAGATAACGAGATAAGCGGTTGAGCCCAGCCCAATCCTCCTCTACAGGCCTGCTTCTAGAGCCCTAGGGCCCAAGGTTGAAATGCAGTGTCGTATAGCAATCTAGAGACTCTACACGCATTTTCCGCGATGCCGTTTATTTAAACTGGTGGGGTTGAAGGCAATGCTTAAACCCTTCGTTTTCCCAATTTTCGCTTTTCAAGATTCCGAAATCTGAATCAATGGCTGGCCTTATTCGAACGGTTCAAAGAACGCGTAGATGGAAATGGAATTGTTCTTCGCCTTCGTCGGTTGTTAGAACCCTGAGAGCGAGTAATGAACTCTCTGGTAACTTGGATTTCGGAATCAGAGCTTACGCAGCAGAAGTTGAAACAGTTACCAAATCGCCCTTTGAATCCAACATTTTACGAATACTCCGAAACGAGATGGAGTACCAGTTGGAGTACGCTCCTCCACAACAGGTTCCTACTTACTTTTCATAATGACCCGTAAACTTTTAGAAAATAATAAGAACTTGATGTTTGTAGTTATTAGGTTTATGCATACATTTAGTTAAATCATATGCTAACTTATGTGAAATTAAAGTATTATTATTTATATGTATTAAAATGTATTCAATGTCGATTTCTTTTATCTGTTTATATTTTTTGTAGCTTATATTCAGGCTCAATTTGTAATATTAATCACTGCTTTCTAAGGATTCGTGTTCTTTTTTTGACTTATGCAGCCTGTTACCAAATTCAATGCGTTTACGGTTGAAGGGCGACCTGGTGAGCAGGTGATTACGATTAGGGGGAAATTTGGGGAGGGGGAAGATATCAAAATTGAAGCTACCATGTTTGATGGGTTTGAACATGTTCCTGTGGTTGGAGATGACAGTTCTGGGGTAAATGTGCGTCTTCACCTCAGTTTAATTGTGGATATATCAAAAGGGGGAGGTGATAGTACATTAGAATTCATCTGCTCGGCATGGCCCGGGTGTCTAGATGTTGAGAAACTTTATGTATTGAGGTGTGGTCAAATGCCGGCTAGGCCTTACCTCGGACCTGATTTCAGGTTTGGATTTCGTTCCCACTTTTCTTGTAACAAGTGTTGTTTGGTGGAGAAGAAGATACAAGCTTGACCTTATCATTTTTGTTCTTTGGTTCATTGGCTGAAAATTCCATATTCACATTTCAACTGTACAAGCTTGAATTTAAGACTAAAAACTTGTATCAAGGCCTAGATGTTTTGAAGTTATTTGGTTCCTCAATGTTGGTTTGCTGTCAAATCTTATCTGTTTCTATTGTTGATTTCAGGGACCTGAATCCTAAGATTCAGGAAAAGTTTCGCGAGTACTTGGACGCTAGGGGAGTAAATAATGAACTCGCTGTCTTCTTACATGATTATATGATGAACAAGGATAGAATTGAACTCCTGCGGTGGATGAATAGTCTTAAGTCTTTTGTGGGAAAATAAACGGGTACGCTTGGCAACTAAGAATTGGTGTTAAAATTATGTTTTGTAATTCTAGGAATTAGTTTCTCTGGCGAAAAGTCATTAATTTGTAACATTTTGCATCAGTTTCTTTATTTCATCTGAGTGCACCTCGACAATGTCGAGCATTAGGAGGCAAGGGCAGTAAATAATGAACTCTATATTTTCTTACTTGGTTATATGATGAGGAACTGGGATAGAGATGAACATCTATTGTGGATGGATAGTTTCGAGTCTCTTGGAAAATAGACAGGTAAGCTTGGCAACTAAGAATTGATGTAAACACGTCTAAGTTTTTCCGTTGTAGGAATTACATAGCTCATGTAAAAGTTCATTTGATTTGTAGTATCTGCATCATTTTCTTTATTTGATAATAAAATCATGCAAGTACACCTTATGAATGTTGAGAAATAGGAGTCCCATATGTCCCTGTATTTGTTTTCCCTATAATTATTTATTTATGTATTTGTTTATTTATTTTTTTTCCCTGAATCTTTTCTTGTTTTTTATGTGGGTTCATAAAATGCTGACCGTAATTAGATTGGGATAAAGGTGATGTTGATGTTGATCAGAAAATTTAGTTACAAATTAAAGTGTGAATTTGTTTTTGAGGTTGAGAAGTGGTAGTAAGGCTAATAAATCTGTAAACTGAGGCCATACCAGTAGAACTTCTTTTGTCATGATGTTAGGAGTAAGGCTAAGCTAAACCTAAGTGATTATAAGATAGTGTTGAAACTTCTATCTTGAGAATTAGGGCATCTTGTTTTAGCTGAATAATTCCTATCCTCGCAAGTGATAACCTATTTGTTTTGTCTATTCTGTGATGATGCCCTTGCATTTTTATTTTATTTTTTGGAAATATTCCAATCGGTTCATTACTTCGCAACTAATCCGATTCGGGGCGGGTCCAGATGCCCTTGCATTTTATGTTACATGTTCATAATCCGCTTTTCATTTTTATTGTGCTTTTTTTTTTTTGGTAAACATTTTTATTGTGCTTTACTTGGTAATATATGGGCATTGGCGATAAGACGGCGTATCTTTTAGGTTTTGCTTTAGGAAAAAAATAAAATAAAATATTATTATTTTAATAAAAAATTACTAAAACATAACTGTTGTGAATCAATTTATAGATCTATTGCAAGTGGTCACACCCAAAATGAACGCGACCACTCATGCTTAATTTAGGCGCATTCTCTCTCCTAATCATGCCCAAAATGGATGCAACCACTCATGCCAAATTTAGGCACATTCTCTCTCCTAGTCATGCCCAAAATGGGCGCCACCTAGCACCAACTATTCTCGTGCCCTAAGAAACCCGTACATGCAAATTTTTTTAAAAATGGCGTGTCAGACACGGACATGCTCCGACACGTTTGGACACGCGTCTGATACGCGATCAACATTTTGGGACACATGGTCAACTCTTCGACACATTTTTTGGACACGCAGTCACCTTTTTCGGATACGTGACATGTTTTTCTTTTTTAGTCTTAATTTTATTTTATTAACTAAAAATAAAAAAACATTTATAAATCAATTTTTTCTGTTATGAAATTTGACATGAAAAATTAACAAGGTACGAAAAATTATTATTTTTTATATTTATGTTATGAAATTTGAATATTTGATTGATTATATAACTAATTATGAACTGTTATATGTATTAAATATAAATTATATTATATATATTAAAAATATTATTTAATATCAAAACGTGTCCCAACGTATCAAAATATGTCATTTTTTAGAATTAACATGTTGGTGTGTCATGTCGTGTCCCGTATCAGTGTCCGTGCATCATAGCTCGTGCCCCCTCGTGCCTTTCTCACCCCTCTTCCTTTATTCTTAAATCTTTATGCCCACCGTTTTACGTTTCCTTTTCTACCTTGAAGCTAAGGTTCATCAATGGCTTCTCGAACATCACCACCAGAGAAGATGATGGTTCCTTCATGTCAGCCACCCAGCAGACGATGGTTCCTTCAGGTCAGCCACCCACGTGGACCCTGGGTCTCGAAAGCGAACGGTCCTGATTTCTCCACCAAGTTTGTGCCCTGTGGGACTGGTATTGAGATTGGCCATTTGCTCCTCTTGGAAATTTTCTTCATCTTTTTTTGAATAATGCGGAGTACTAGAATGGACAACAGAATCAAGACAAGTGCTGGTGTTTCACAAGACACCGCAGGAATCAGTGTTTTGAGGGAGTTAAGTGGAGGGAAATCAAAAGGGAAAGCACCGGTCAAAGTGTTGTTTGTTGTTTGATAAGTCTTAAGTATTGAAGTGAGTGTAGAGAAGAAATGGGTTTTATGTTGCCTTGGAGATTGCAGCTTGAGAGGTCAAGTTGTTGTAGCTTGGAGAGCATTTTGAACCCTGAGGGGCTTGTTCGCAAATCGCAGGATTGTTCCTAGCTTATTGTATGAAAGGTCGAGGCTTTTTAGGTTTGGGAAGCCATATAATTGAACCGAATTGGTGAACCTGTTGTGTGAGAGATTGAGCATTTGGATGGGATGGAAATAAGGTGTTTTCTGATGTGGGTTTTGAAGCAATAGTGGTGCTCCCTCCGAACCTGTTCCTTGAGAGATCCACTTCCAATAAGGTTGAACTTGACCAAAACCAGCTTGGCACATGGCCTTGCAGGGAATTCCCAGAGAAAGGCACAAGGGGGCACGAGAACAGAATGTGTTAGTTGGTGCTGGGTCATGCCCAAAATGGGCATGATTGGGAGACAGAATACACCTAAATTAGGTGTGAGTGGTCACAAACATTTTGGGCATAATTAGGAGAGAGGCTGTGCCTAAATTAGACGTGAATGGTCATGCTCATATATATATATATATATGTGGCCTAAAATATAGTACATTTGAATGAGGTTTTTTTTTAGGAATTTTTTTTTTTAAAATATAAAATTGCTCTTTATTTTATATGTTTGTTTGGATTTAGCTTTGAATAAAGCAAAAGTCAGAAAAAAAGTTAAAATACTGTTTTTTTAAGCCAAGGTTTCAAAAGTCAAAATATTGCTAGCTACTCAAAAGTGCTTTTTAGATACTTATATAAATGCAAAATAGCTCTGGCATTTGATAAAAATCCTTCTAAAGTAGTACGAGAACGTTTATTGTTTAGATGTATAATTGTGGTCTAAGGTTGAGACCAAAGGACAAGGGTGATTTTTCCTCCATTTTTGGAACTGACGATTAGGGGGTGTTCAAAATATCTAAAAGAATCAAACCAATTCATAACTAAATTGTTTCATATTAAAAAAATTGATTTTTTTTAAAAAATCGATAAACTGCATTTTATTTTATAAACTGATTATTTACTAAATTTTATATGAAACTGCATTTTATATTATAAACTGATTATTTACCAAATCATAAAAATAATTGGTTGTCTATGATTATCTATAATCAAATTACTCTACCTTCTCCCGGATATCTTTCCAAGGAAAATGCAGGACCATTTTAATTTCATTATCTTATTCTACTTGGTTTATGTCCCCAATCAATTCTTTTAATAAAACTGTTTATTTATGTTGAAGAAATATAGTCATGCATTTTATTTGCTGCATTGGACTAAAGAAACTGTCTCTGGATGCGGTTAAGACGATTGCATATATGCAGTAAACGAAAATTGGATTTATAATTTACTAGAGTTATTCGTTGTGTATCTAAGCTTTTGCAAGTTTGTAATCAAGACTGAGTGTTGATATTGTTTTCATGTTTTTTTTATTATAATAGCACAATTTATAACCGGTTTTGAATTTATGAAAAAATAGCACAATTCATCAAAAAATCAGTTTTGAATTTGTTATAAAACTAGTTTTAAACTTGATAATCGGTTTATGATTCATAATCGATTTTAATTTAAAATCAGTTTTAATTAAAACCAGTTTTAAATCAAAACCAGTTTTAAATCAAAACCAGTTTTAAATCAAAACCAGTTATGAACCACAAAATGGTTTTGAAATCGGTTTCAAACCGGTTTGGACAAATTAAAATTGGGTTTTTTTTAAGTGGTTCGGTTTAAAAACTAAATTGTTTAAAATTGATTCGGTTCGATTTTTGTCAAAAACTGAACCGAACCGCTCATGCACATTCCCACGGACGACGACTTATTAGCCAATATTGGTAGACAGTTATTTTACTAATTAAGCGGGTAATTAGTTTTCAGTTAGTTATTGTTAGTTAACTAGTGTTAGTTACTATTAGTAATTCCTGCTTAAGTGTATAACAGCTTTGCTCCTATAGTTGATGTATAAATAGGCTTCTGTAATATGCATTATTCATTCAATTCAATGAGCAATTCAGTTTCACAAGATTCTATTATGGTATCAGTGCTCTAATTGAGGTATTCTGCAATTCTCATTCTCCCTTTCCTTTCTTCCTCCTTCTTCTTGTTCCTATCTTTCTTCTTCTTTCTTGCTGAAAAATGGCAAATCTGATCCCAAACCTACCAAAATTCATAACAAATTCTTCTAATCACTACTACCTTCACCCAAATGAAAACCCCTCATTGATACTTGTATCTCCTCCTCTCAGTGGAAGAAATTATCACACTTGGGTGAGAGGTATGAAGATGGCGCTGAAATCCAAGAACAAGCTTACCATTGTCAATGGCAGCTTGGTCATACCTGCTGATGAAGATCCATTATTTCCAGCATGGGATAGATGCAATACCATGGTCCTTTCTTGGATCCACAAGTCTATCGATGAATCAATTTCTCAATCCATACTATGGATGGACAAAGCCATTGATGTATGGAACAATCTCAAAGAAAGATTCTCACAGAATGACATATTCAGAGTTTCTGATTTACAAGATGAGGTTTCCAAGATTCAACAAGGAGACAAAACTGTATCAAATTACTTTACACATCTCAAAACACTATGGGATGAACTGGAAAGCTTGCAGCCCTTGCCAGCATGTGTCTGTGGTGGACTCAATCCCATCAAAGAGATTCGAGAACGTGATTATGTCATCAGATTCCTCAAAGGACTGAATGAATAATTCGAGCATGTCAAGACACAGGTAATGCTAATTGAACCATTGCCAAACATTAACAAAACGTTTTCTTTGATAATCCAGCAAGAAAGAAGGCTGAATCTTGGAGTTATTTCAACTGAACCAAGTGAGAATCAAGCTATCATCAATTTAGCTGAACAACAAAGGCCCAGTTTCAGAGGTGAACAACATAGACCCAGTTTCAGAGGTGAACAACAAAGACCAAGTTTCAGAAATCGAGCTGAGCATTTCAATGGTGAAAGAGAAAGGTTTAATGCAGGACGTGGACGTGGTAATAAGTTCTGCACTCACTGTAAGCGCACAAATCATACAGTGGACACATGTTACATCAAGCATGGCTTTCCACCAGGTTATCGCTCATTTAGAGAACCAAACACACATTCTGCTCACATGATAAATCAAGAAAAT